AAGGTATTCTTATTCAGGGTGGACTGGAGTTGCGACCTCGCCTAGGCCTTATCAATAACCCCAGCGAGCCTAGAAGCATGATTCATATCATTCTGAGAAAATGCAACTACCAGTTCTTCATTTTAAAGGAAATATGGTGAACATGGCTCAAATGTCTGATTTAATGTTAGTCTCGAAGACCTCCTTAATACAAAAAATATATAATGTCGTTGATTGCTATAGCAAATATAAGTTTGCTTAATCGACAATCCCACAAAGTCCTGGTCTTCATATCTTCGTTTGAACAATGGTGTTCTTAGAGGTTGTTTGACCTTGCTTTCGCAACTCGGTCGGATTGGTAGGAAGACTTATAGGAACGCACCTTGGCCTGAGTCCATTGTATGCCTAATTATTTCCAAAGTCGGACCGTGGACGTGGTACATTCCCAGACGTTTCGCCGGCATCGTCAGGGAGTCTCGCGATTCGTGGCACCATATTACAACTCGTCAAAGAGACAAGTGAAGCCGATCCTTTGACCAAACGTGTGCTAAACAGTGTTACGATATCTCCCATTCTGCCATGACCTATTAGCATTTCATATATCCTCCAATCACACCTTCACTGTCACAATATTTTACTTGCTTAATTAAATGTGGTCGGTGTGCCCTTTTTTTTAGCGGCTTTCATGAGAAGTCTCCGCACTCCACGCTGGCCTTCTCACCGCCTTCATACTTGTGCTAGGAATGTTGATCGGAGTCTGCCATATTGTTACGCAGTCCTCCTTCCCTAGGTCTTACCACAGTCTCTCTCTTATCCCCGTAAGATCCGTCTTGCCTCGGTTCACATATTTCACTCGACCCCTGCCACCTCATCTGTGCCAACTTGAGGCGTTATTGGCCTTACTCTGCGTCTGGGTGACTAATTAGAGACTCAAGCCTCAGAGTAAGTGTCATGGTCAGGCCTTTGCCACATGGACAACGTCTCCTATAAAAACTACTGTCAGCCCAATAGCTCCCATCGCCGCCGTGTCTATCCTGTTTATATCTCTAATACCAAGTCTATGACTTATAGCCTAGCCTCTTGTGTGCCAACCCACAAATATTGTGGTCATGCCTGCTTTGACTCGGTTCAATGTTGAACCACAACGTTTGTGGGTTGACACACAAGAGACTAGGGCATAGGAAGTCATAGACTTGG